GGAAACTGGTAATTGGAGTGTTAGAAGGGGATGGAGAGCTGATAATCACCACTGGGGAGAGGGATACAGCCACAGCACCACTCTAACAGTCGGATACAGCCCTCGAGGGAAAAACAGGACATCGGCGGTTATCCTCACAAGTCTGAAATCAGAAATAACATAAAACTGAAAACCTAGACAGTAAAAACATATTAATAAGAGATGGATAGGCGGGAAACCAAAACAGAAAGGAAGGAGGGGGGAGGGGGAATTTCCCGCTAAATGAAAAAACTAATGAGGGGGCCCTTCTCTCAGTTGAACCAGGTTTGGCCCAAACCGGTTCAACTTTTGGAGAAAAACCCCTGTATCATGAGGTCAAGGTGGAACCCATAAGATAAGAACACCCTAAAGAAGATGGGAGCACTTAGAAGAAGAAATCAACAAGAATAGCAATGTGTGGAAGCCCTTCCGCTTCTACATAAATTCTCAATGCCCTCGCAAAAAAAAAGAGAGGTCACCACAAGAACTGACTAAAAAATAAATTGAAGGACCAATGGCGTGCAAATATGAAGACAAACTCATGAGGCTTGTAGACTTGTGTTCAATACACCCAATGTCAACATCCACTAAAACAAATTCAAGGAAAAATTAAAGAAAATGGTATTTGAGACTTTGTTGGATTTAAAATTGTAATTTTGGTTATTTGGCAAATTTTAAGTTAAATCATTTTTTAATCCTAATATCAAATGCCTTCTCAACCTCACCTACAACGGCCATCTTTCCAACCACCAACAATAGCACTACATCAACCTCATGACATCACAACATAGTCTCATTTTAACTTTGACAACGACCAAAAATATAACCACAACTTCCACAGGACCAACATCGATCAAAACAGCCATTCTTCTCTACTCATCCCTTCGCCATATCTAGCTCCAAACCAAAATTCACGCAACCCACAACAACAAAGAAGCAAGGAAGTCAAAGCAAGAACCCGGTGGAGAACAGAAAAAAGCTTTAAGGGGAGGACATAGAAACCAACAGCATGTGAAGGCTCTTTGCTCCTATGCAAAATCAAGAAAATCCCTACAGAATAAAAAGCTAAGGTCACGAAGAAAGCTCACTAATAAAAGTATCAAAGGTGGTGTGAGAAGAGAAGATGAAGTCATGAGGCCTGCATGTTTAAGTTAAATAAGTCCAATGCTCTGTATTTATGTGTGTGAGATGGATATCCAAAAAAAGAGAGAGAAGAAAGCCTGTGCTTAAAGTTGATGTAATTTTGTTGTAATCTTATCCTCAACACATCTTTATGCTTAAAGTATAATGCAAATAGATTTGTGTCAACAAGCATAAGTAATCATAGGCATTGTTCCAACGCATCATAAAAAATTCAAACATAAGTAGTAAATAACAATGTGGTAGGAAAATCTTTTTGTGCTTTTATCATGCAGGTGATGAAGGCCTATGCATGATTTTTTAAACGTGGTGGATTTCAAGACCTCCAGTTGCAATGTAGTAGACACCAATCATTCACCTATTTTAAGCATGGTGGCTGGGTCTCACATTCCGCATAGATGCCTCCAAAATGTGGAAGACATCAGGCATCTATCAAAATTTCTACTAGAAGAAATTGCAAAGAAATTTAAAATGATAACAAAAAGAAACATAACAGATTAAAATACAAATTCATATGTATGCGGTGAGCAAAAATTAAATCATAAATGTGATACATGTGATGAAAAGATGTAACTAAACATAGAGTAGAGCTTAAAGGGGTTATAACGAGCTTGAAATATCATTATGAGCATAGAAAACTTTTTCAACACAATCAGAACTCTCAAAAACACATCCTATAAACTATGAACAACAAACTGAGAATGGTGGAAATGAACTACAAACTTCCATCTATTTATTGGAGCAGAAATATTTTTTGCAGGCTAAAATAAAAACAAATCACATATAAATGAAAACGACAACTTGAAACACAATAGATTCCAATTAGTAACAATCGTAATTAAATCTACAACACAAATATGCAAGTGGAAAAAAGCAAACACTGTACTCAAATGAAATGTTGAGCGTGGCCTCTAAAAAAGACATTAATGTCGAAGCCTAAGATTAGAATGTCACGCATAATAAAACAATCAAACTTGTATACATGTGCATCTACAAGCTCGTTAAATGCTCAAACTTAAAATCAAAGAGCATCGCTTTAACTATAAATAAGTTAAACTCAAATTTGCTCCGCTTCGACAACCATGCAACCAGTGTTAAAAAATATGAAGCATTTTTAAATTTTGCAGATCTCTTTTTCAAATTTAAATTCATCAACAAATATTCATGTTCTTAAGCAACCAACCAGCATTTAGATAACGGTCATAAATTACACCTAGCAAGCCAACTACTCCACATCACAAAGACAGAAATCAGCAAGATATGCCTAAAAGAATGATTTTAAATTTTCTTCTCTTTACTATGGAAGCTATACATTTATTGAGAGGTTTGATAGAGAAGCTCAGAGATAATAAAGAGAATCTACATTTGATTTTTATTGATTTAGAAAAAGCTTACGATAAGGTTCCAAGAGATATCCTTTGGAGAGTTCTTGAGAAGAAAGGTGTTGATATGACTTATATTCAAGTCATTAAAGATATGTATACTAGAGTTGTTACTTGTGTTCAAACTGAAGGAGGATTGACAAATATTTTCCTATTTCTATTGGATTACATCAGGGATCGGCTTTAAGCCCATATCTTTTTGCTTTAGTTATGGATGGTCTTACTGGACATTTACAGCAGGATGTACCTTGGTGTATGCTTTTTGTTGATGATATCCTTCTCGTAGATAAAACGAAAGAAAAAGCCCAGGAAAAACTTAAATTATGGAGGTCTACATTGGAGTCTAAAGGCCTTCATTTAAGTAGAACTAACCTGAATACATGGAATGTAATTTTAGTAGTAGTAGCTCTAGTGACAAAAGTGTGACTTTGGGTGATCAAATTATTAAAAGGTGTGAACGATTTAGATATCTTGGGTCTGTTGTTCAAAGCGATGGTTATATAGATGGGGATTTTAGTAGTAGAATTCAAGTTGGTTGGTTGAAGTGGATGAATGCTTCGGGCCTTTTGTGTGATAGAAAAGCACCGCTTAGATTAAAAGGAAAATTTTATAAGACGGTGGTGAAACATGCAATGCTTTATGGCGCTAAATGTTGGCCTTTAAAAGAGAAGCCTAATAATAAGTTAAGTGTTGCCAAGATGAGAATGATTAGGTGGATGAGTGGCTTTACACTTAGAGACAAAATGTGAAATGAATATATCTGTGATAGGGTTGGTGTAGCTCCTGTGACGGACAAAATTAGAGAAAGTCGTCTTAGATGGTTTGGTCACATTAAACATCAATCATCTGATGATCCGATTAGAAGAGTAGATGTTTTAGATTCGACTTGTGTTAAGAAAGGCAGAGCTAGACCTAGGAAGACTTCGGCTTATTGTATAAAAAATGATCTTAATTTACTATAACTAAATGAAAATATGACACTAAATAGGACGCAATATGGAAAAAGGATTCATGTAGCCGACCCCACGTAGTGGGATTAAGGCCTTGTTGTTGTTGTTGATCTAATACAACAAACTCATTACAAATCAAAAATCACATTTAGTTGAAAATTTTGCTAAAATCTTTGTTATCATTTGCATAGAACCTTAAACCTCTTTTATAAATAGATTCATTTTAAAATATAAACTCTCTATGCTGCGCTTACAAGACAACCACAAATTCTAGCCCCTTAAACATGATCATTCACATATAGGTGTAGAGTTGACAAAGTTTATGATGCTATGAACATCCAAACAAATTCAAACTATACACAAATCACGAGCCCTATCCTCTGCAACAAGCAGACAAAGTTAATAAAGTTCAATATAACCCTGATTATGGTCGTATTAAAAGAAAAAATCTTAGTCCAAAAATATCTTATTCTCAAAATACAACAAAACTCTAAAATAATTCATTTGGACTTAAATCTTCATAAGACTATAAAAGTCTAAAATAATACTAAATATAAAGCTATACAAGTGAAATCTACCACTTGAAGCTAAGAGCACCCAATCCATTCATCCTTCCCAACAATTTATAGAGGTTGAAAGATTTAAAATTAACATAAGCTCACAAAAAGTCATTTTTATACACACCAATAAAGGCACAGCACACATCAACTAAACAAGTGGTTTTACCACTAAATGACACCGCATAAAAATGATTATGACCAGGGACCTTCAATTGAATGATTAGCATCAAAATAGCACCATTAAATTATAGTCATAATCAAAGCTCACGAGTTACCCAATTTCCAAAATCCTCTGATTGGTGAATTATAAAGTCACTTATTAGCAAAGATCAACTTAAATTTTCCCTTAGGCAAACATCCACCCGAGGTTTATAAAGTTGTTTCGAACAATGCAACCCATAGTGACAAGGAACCGTTGATCATGTTGGGTGAACAATCCCCTCTGACTAGGTAGGCAAGGATCTAACATCAACTCTGAACTAACAACATTAAATTCACTTATACTAAAACTAAATTGAAGCTATTGTAAGCTAAACACTTAATGCATATCGACTAAGCATAATAAAAAATTCTCTCATTATCAAAAGGAAGTGATTTACCATAAAAATTTGTGCCTATAGGAAACATGAAATCATTTCAAGTCCTCATAAAAGAACTGTCAATTTTTTTAGCACTGTCTTATTTGAAATTCAAATTGCCTTCTAAAAATTTGAACCAGAAACATCACTCTCTCACAAAAACCAGAAGCATATTTTCAGAGCCAGGGAATCTTCATTTTCTACTCCCCAATTGAGTGTTGTCTAAGTGGTTAAGCCAATTTCTTCGCAATTCATTTTCATCAACTAAAATCAATAATATAATTTTTGGTAAAAATCTAAAAGTTACAAAAAAATTCTCCTGATAACAAAAAAGAACATTAAAAAAGACTCATGATTAAGGGATTACCACACCGTGAATAAATCTTGTCCACTTCCCACCAACTTTGACATAGTCATCTCCTTTATAGGCATTTCCCATTTAAACTTCGATTTCTCTTTCATTAACTTATCAACCTCTTCATTTGTTAGAATATGTCCAAAGTGATGATGGAAATAGCTGCATTCATGAAAATACAATTCATCCTATATTAAATATAAAGCAACAAAAACAAAAAAAATATGAACAATTGTCGCATCCATATAAGACAAATATACATCATATATGACAATCAGTAAGTTGCAATAAAAAGCATAACTGAAATTATTTTCATTTCGAAAAAGGATACATTATAGCAAAAAAGTTTGACACTAAAATTTCAAGCTTTTAGCAGTCGATACAAGATACTAATTCTAGGCAACATTCCACAAAATTAATAGTCAATAAAAAACAGAAGTATCATATGACAACAAGGCATCCACGACAAGAGAGAGACTAAAGGATGTCCTTCAAAACCATAAAATGCTTCAAAAGAGAGATCCTAGTGTCCAGTACATTATTACCAGTTCTTAAAATGACTAAAACAAAATTCACATGGAAAAGGCTTATCGACCTTACTATTTGAAGACTAAAATACTGCAACTAACATAATGTAAATTTATTTTACATGTAAGTACTTCCGCAAGATGAAGCCCAAGTGTAATACTGACAGCAGATAAATCATGCATGAGATGCAAGAAACTTTCAAAAAGGTAAAACAGATATAGCATGAGATGATAAGAGAAAAAACAGCCATAAGGGTAAAAGCAAAAAACTCTAATGTTAAAAAAACCATGGGCAATTGCACATTCACATAATTAAAATTTTGTGTGTACATGCATACATAACCATCAACATGACCTCGTGCACTTTCAGCACAAACATGTAAAGAATTACAGATAGTACACTTAAGTATGAATTTATGTATTGAGAAAAAAAAAACAATAGAGTCCTGGGAGTATTGTCGGTCAACTTTTCGATACATATAGATAGA